CATTTATACTGAAAAAAAAAGTTCATAACAAAATAATTCATATTAAAAAATATAAGATGTGACAAAAAAAGTAAAGAACATAATGAGAAAAAATATTAGAGATGATGTAGATAAGGCTTGATGATGGAACAACAAAACTTTGAAGCTCAAGCTAGATTTTTAAAATCATGTTTGTCACAACCACTTCAGCATCCAATATCATCAGTAATGACTATGTTCAAATTTTAATGCGTAAAGCACTAGCTACCCACAATACTAATGAAAGCAGTAAAGATCGACTGGTGCTATATACTAGTATAATAACAAGCAATAACAACAACTACGTCTAAGTACACTTACGCACGATACACATTAAACACATCAACTATATTCCTAAATTCAACCACTAACTCAATCCTCTTTTAACTTTGACTAATTATATATTATCAAAATTTTCAAAATAGGGCTTTAAAATTAATTCCTTATACTAATTATAGGGATACATGTATGCATAATTACATAAATGAAAATTTTTTATTACTATTTTTATTTTAAAAAATAAAGAGTAAGTCTTTCGTTAAATAGACGACTTACGTTAACTTTATTTTCTACTCAAAATGGCTTTGCTATCAATCTGTTGTTTTTTTTTTTTTTTTTGTTAATGAGAAATACTGCAAGTCGCCTGTCCATATGAAATTGCCAGTTAAACGGGCGACTATGTATACTTTTAATTTTCTTAAAGTGCTTAATCACTTAAGTACTTCACAACGAGATATAGGTTTGGCGCAATTAATTAGATAGATTCTAATGGTTTAAAATTTATCAAAACGAGTCATATATTTTGGTGGTAGTTTCAAGATATTTATTTGACCACCTATTTATAATTTCTAAAATGTTAAATCTTGATTTTTTTTTTGAATTCTAGTTTAAGCTTCACGTTAATTTCGAAATTAATTAGATAGAATTTTGTATGATCATAACAAGTATTATTTTGTATGGTCTTAGAAGTTTGCTGAGGGAAATGATAGAGAGCAAAGCGCTACAGTGCTATATGAGAAGGTACCTGAAAGGGTTAGTAAACCAGAAAGACATAAGGAAGAAGAAGAGAGTAAGCTGAAAAAGCTTTCATTGATCAATACTCAGCCGTGTACAGTAAGTGAGTTTTTATAGGGAGATAGGAGACAAGTCGTTGGAATATCAGAGAGCCGTTAGAGGTCAGAACCGGCACAGGGTGACAGTGGTCGTGCGACTTGCTCCAGGCGGTTTGCTGAGCCGCAGGAGGTATATGGAATACCTTAACATCCCCCCGCAAGTTGATCATCAGATCTGCAAATGGTCAGTTTGTTCCGTAGGTCGGAGAACTGCTGGCCAGTGATGGGTTTGGTGAGTATGTCCGCCAGTTGATCGACGGAATTGATGTGGGCAACCTCTATCGCTTTGCGGTGAATATGATCACTGATAAAATGGTGATCTATTTCAATGTGTTTGGTCATCGCATGAAATATGGGATTGTTAGATAAGGCTATGGCAGAGATATTATCACAGAAAATCGTCGTTGGAGCTAGCTGTGAGGCGTGGAAATCATGAAGAAGCCGACGGAGCCAGATCACGTCGGAGGTAGCCGCCGCTAGTGCTCTGTACTCTGCCTCTGTTGACGATTTGGCGACGGTTGATTGCTCTTAACGCTCCAGGAGATGAGGTTGGGACCAAGATAGGAGCAGAAGCCTGTAATTGACTTCCGATCATCGGTGTTGGATGCCCAGTCCGCATCGGAATAGGTTGTGAGTGTTAGAGGACCAGTGGTAATCGGCAGGCCATAGTCTTGGGTGCCTTTGATGTACCGTAAAAGACGTTTTAGTCTCTTGAAGTCGGATGTCGTCGGACAGTGCATGTGCTGGCATATGACATTGGTAGCAAAGGCGATATCCAGCCTGGTTATGGTGAGATATTGGAGGGAGCCCGCAATTTGTCTGTAGAAGGTGGGATCATCATGGGGTGCAGCTACTGTCTCCGTTTTGGACTCCTTTGGTGAGATTGGTGTATTGACTGGTTTGGAGGAGTCTAGGCCCGCTGAATGCAGAATATCTCTTGCATAATGGGATTGAGTGAGAAATAGACATGTTGAACTGGTCTGAATTTGAATGCCTAGGAACAGACTTACTGTATCCATTTGTTTGAGGGAGAAGGTTTGTCGGAGGTGAGAGAGTAGTTGCTGGAGGGTTGGTTGATGGTTGCCGGTTAGGAGCAAATCGTCGACATAGGCAAGTAGGTAGAGTTGAATGTCCTGTTTGTTGTAGACAAGCATGGACGGATCGGCTTTGCTGAATTGAAAGCCAAAGGTGAGGAGGAACGACGTCAATTTGTGAAACCATTGACGCGGAGCTTGTTTAAGTCTGTAGATTTCCTTCTGAAGTTTGCATACGTGATCGAGATGCTTGGGATTAATGAAACCAGGGGGCTGCTTCATGTATACATCCTCTTGGAGGTCTCCATGAAGGAAGGCGTTATTGATGTCCAGCTGATGGATGGGCCAGCCACGATGGAGGGAGATGATGAGCAGCACCCGAATGGTTGGCATTTTGGCCACAGGGCTGAAGGTTTGCTGATAGTTGATCCCTTGCTGTTGGGTGAAGCCTTGAGTGACCAGTCTTGCTTTGTAGCGGGCGATGCTACCGTCGGGATTGAGCTTTGTCTTATAAGTCCACCGACAGCCAAGGATGGGTGTGTTTGGTGGTGGAGGCGTGAGGAACCATGTACGTACCCTACTTTTAGAGTGCCATAAACTCGACCGACATCGCTTGTCGCCAGTGGGAGAGTTTGGCAGCCTCGTTGTAGCTGGACGGAGTGAGACTCACATCTGTAACAGCAAGTAAGTCGAAGAATTTTCGTGGTTTAAGATGACCTGTTTGGAGGCGAGTTTGCATAGGGTGTTTGTGAGCGGGAGGAGGGGAGTTTGAAATTTGAGTGGAGGCGGGAATAGGAGTGGATGTTATAGGAGAGAGAGTGGTGTGGGTTGTTCAAGTCTATCCACCGAGGGGGAGATTGAAGTTGTTGTTGAGGTGTGAGGACCTGAGGTTGAATGGAGGTTGGTATTAGGAGGAGAGGAGGAGTGTTGATGTTATCAGGTGTTGTGGAGGTGGTGGGAGGTGTTTTGCTGGGGAAGTGATGTTCATTGAACGTGACATGCCGGGAGATATAGAGTTTTTGACGACGTGGGTCATAACATCGGTAGCCTTTGTGCGAGCTGGAATATCCTAAGAAAATACAGTGAGTGGAACGTGGTTCGAGCTTGTGAGATGTCTGAGGTTTTAACCAGGGAAAGCATGAGCAGCCGAATACTCTGAGATGAGTGTAAGAGGGAGGGGTGCCATGTAGCAATTGGAACGGAATCTGAGTATTTAGAGATGTGGTAGGTAGACGATTAATGAGGTAATTTGAGGTTTGAACCGCCTCTGCCCAGTAGGTGGCTGGAAGAGAGGCAGCATGAAGGAGCGTTCTTGTTGTCTCGAGGAGATGACGGTGTTTCCTCTCGGAGACGCCGTTTTGCTCCGGCGTGTAGGGACAACTGAATTTGTGGTGAATGCCTTGACTGCGTAAGAAGGTTTGAAGGTCATGACTGGTGTATTCACCACCAGCATCAGATCTTAAAGTTTTAATGGAGGTGTTAAATTGAGTTTGGATGAGTTTGTTGAATTGTTGAAATTTGTTAGCCAATTCATTTTTAGACTCGGGCATTCGGCGCCGTAGTTTTGTGTGATGCCGCAACGCTACGGTTTGAGCGTCGTAGCATCATGATGACAGAGGCTTGAGCATCACAGCGCTCCAAACTAGTGTCACATCATTTCGAGGCAAATTGAATAATTTTATTTCTCATTTTTTCTTAAGAGTGCTGTCCCTTGGTGTTATTTACTTGACTTTCTCTTGTGTTTTGTGTGTGAGAATGGTGAAAGAGATAAGAGATGGAAAATGTGAGAGAGAATAGAAATCTGTACTTATTTCTCTCAATTTTCATAGTGGATCTTTTGGTGCGGTGTGACGACTCCATGATTTTTTTTCCCCCTGATTTAAGATTTTTCCATGTTAAATCCCATCATGTGATTTTACTTTCATCCTCAACATAAAAAAGTTTTTGAAAATAGCAACAAAAAAAGTAAGAAATGTTCATAAATACAATCGTTGTGGTCTTTGGGGTCACCATTGGAGTGCTTGCAAGAATGCTCTGAAACAGACAAGTGTCATCTTAGCGTACTCTGGAACAAACTTACAATTACTCTGAGCTTACAACTTCTGCACAAAGATGTAGACCCAAATTTCCAAGCAGAAGAGAGGCCATTGGAGAAAGCCAAAGAAGATCATCAAGTGCTCTTTGATTTATTAGGCATCTTATCTCTATAACAAGTAAATACATAACATTCCAAATTACATGTAAAATAAATTTATGTCGTATCTACACCTTAATGCGTGTGACCCAAACTCATATTTTGATATTTAAAGTATAATATTTGTTGAATAATAGAGAAATTAAATCATCCAATTCAATTTAGGACTTAACTAACTAACCATCATTAGATTAAACAATATTAAACAAAAAATTATGTCAACACTTCAAACCCTTTGCAATGGAGAAATAAATTATTTAAGGAAAATAATGCACGATGATTTGCATTTTATGGCTAATTCTAGAAAATTATAAATAGTAGTGCTGCATTTTATGGCATTATTGATTGGATTTTTGTATGAAATGGTTCAGAGATAAAAAGTAAATATTTAGCTTGAGGAGTGGCGATCTATGGAGAGAAGAAAATTTTGTGCGGGTCAATCAAGTTTGGGTCAAGAGGTTTTTGGGATAGGTGCCTCTTCTAGATCAGTTGAGAATTACTCACACCGCCAAATAAACTTTCAAAAAAAAATTTTTGTGCTCCTTTGGCTCAAAGCTATAGACTTAAAATCATGGTGATCATAAACAAAATAACCGTTGGTGATCATAAGCAAGCAAATATGATATAAACCCCTCACCACAGGTTTTCTTCGGCGCTCACAGCGAAAGAATCAGGAGGCGGGTGTGTAGCGGTTCATATTCTTCCCTCTTTTCTCTTGCTCCGCGGTCTACTCCTTCACATTCCTTTTCACTTTTATCCCCACACTCAACATGGAGACCCGCCGGAGATTCCCTCCTCCATCCTGCACCTCGCCCTCCCCCGCCTCCACTCTCCGCTCCCTTCCGGCGGCGCCTCGCTCTTCCGGCGACCGCATTCAAGCCTCCGACGCCCTTCCAATCCCTATCCGCCACACCAACCTCCTCTTCTCCCTCTTATTCGTCTGCTCCATTGTCTTTCTCATGCGCCGCTGGCGTGACAAGGTCCGGGAATCGATCCCTCTCCACGCCGTCGATCTCTCTGAGCTCGTCTCCATCATTTCCGTCGTCGCATCCCTCATCTACCTCATCAGCTTTTTCGGCATCGCTATCGTTCAATCTATCGTCTCCTCTCACGAAGACGAGGTCGACGATTTCCTACCCGATAGCAAAATGACTCCCAGTCCAGCCCCTTCGTCTGATCTGGCTTCGCCGGTGCTCGCAGGCCTCGAAGATGAGGATATTATTGCGGCTGTTGTTGCCGGCAAGACGCCATCCTATGCGCTGGAGTCAGCGATTGGAGACTGCCACCGCGCTGCTGAGATCAGGCGAGAGGCAATAAGAAGGATCTCCGGAAGGGGCTTGGATGGGCTTCCTCTTGAGGGGTTTGATTACGGGTCGATTCTTGGGCAGTGCTGCGAGATGCCTGTGGGATATGTTCAGCTTCCTGTGGGTATTGCTGGGCCGTTAATACTTGATGGAAGAGAGCACTATTTGCCGATGGCGACAACTGAGGGGTGCCTCGTGGCGAGCACTAACAGGGGGTGCAAGGCGATCGCGGAGTCAGGCGGCGCAGCCAGCGTGGTGCTTAGGGATGCAATGACAAGGGCGCCGGTGGTGAGGTTTTTGACTGCAGCGAGGGCCGCTGAGCTCAAGTTCTTCTTGGAGGAGCCTACTAATTTCGATAACCTTTCCGTCATTTTCAACAGGTAACTCATTCCTGTCTCTAGTAATTATTATGTATGATGTGTTAGTACTTGGCCTTAATGCATAGTAGTATTGAATAAAAAATACTGAGCATTTGTGCAAGAAAATTTTGAGCCACCGTTATCAGTAAACTTATACTGCCTCTATGCCATTGTATGTCGAGGTAAATTCTTGCTTCAAACCTTGTTAATCATGCTTCGATCGTCATATTGGCTTACTCTCCGAATGAAAACCGAATTCTGCTTTTATTATGTTAACGGGTGAAGAAGTCTGGTATTGTGTTTTTGTGTCTTGCTATCTTGTGTTCGGTTATGGATTTATGCGTAACGATTTGCAATTGCTATATTTTATTTTCCCTTTATTTTATTGTTACAGTCTGTTTTTTTTTTTTTTTTTTTTTTTTTTTTTTGGTCAACTAGATATGACGTCAAGTTTTGCGGCGCTTTCACTGGAAGTATTAGTTGGGCTGTCTTGAGCTGGGTTTATTTTGTTTTTTTTGTCCTCTCGTTGGACAAAAATTAGATCAGGATATATTGATCAAATTGGTCAAGATTGATTATAAAATGTTTGAATTTATTTTAAAACTCTTGTATTAAACTCATCTCATAACAAATCTGAAGATTTAGCAATTCATTCTAATCAAATTTGGCCATAATATTCTCACCTTTTTTTTCTCCCTTCAAGTACTTCTATTGAAATCTCGAAATATGAGCATTTAACTTAATTGTTTAATATGTCGTTAACTCTGGTGCAGCGGATTTATTTTCTCTTTGCTGTTCAATTATTTTATTTTTCTATCCCTACACCACCCACCCTTCCCCTCCCATGCTTGTTATTGTCTGCTATTCTTCATCGAGCCTGCGTCCTTGGAGGCTGGCTGGCTACTAGTAAGATTTAACTCAAGCAGGATTTAGTATATCATGTAATTCCAAATGCAGTAAAGGATTAATACTTAAAAATTGTTTGACTATTTATTTCATAAATTAAGTTTTTTTAGAGAGAGAGGAATGCTTAAATCCATTAAAAGTTGTGATGGTGGGATTTAATAAATCATAGATTTAATAAATAATGGGGTTGAAATGAGATTTGTCAGAACTACAAAATCCTCGAAATATCATTTGGCACGATTTAAGCTAAATCTTGCTTAAATCCTACCTAAAATATGATATCAATTCATTGTATCTAAACATAATAATGGTTAGTGCATATGGTGATTCTTTTCATTTTTTTTTTAAAATTTATACAGATCAAGTAGATTTGCAAGACTTCAAGATATCCAATGTGCACTTGTAGGGAGAAATCTCTACATGAGATTTTGCTGCACCACTGGAGATGCAATGGGGATGAACATGGTCTCTAAAGGTGTGCAAAATGTCTTGGACTACATTCAAAATGATTTTCCGGACATGGATGTTATCAGC